AATATGACCAAGTCTCCGAATTTCGTTTTAAACTCATATAGTTTTTCATCTGTCTTCGCCTGAATCTGTAAATTGTTTCTCTTGTGTACTGTTTATTATTCAATCCAATGACTTCTATCTATATGAAGGAAAGTTTCTTTGTCATGACAGACAGGATAGACTTCTACGATCAGTCGAAAAACTTATATATGTATCCATTTATATTTAATAACCGGAAACTTGTAATAAAAGCAATGTATTAAATAAACAGATGCATAAATAAAATGAATACAACATTATACAAACAGCAAACGAATAAATATATGTATGGGTGACATATTTATTATTTTTTATTAGTTTTAAAGATCTGTAACTGACATTCTGTTGTTTGCTACTTTTCAGTTTCCCGGTTTCTTACAGATCAAATTAAGACTACTATCCTTACAATATAACTGATTAAAAATTTATCAAGTAATTTAAAAGTACAATCAAACAGATAATCGCTAATATACGGTTAATGGTATAAAATATTTAGAAAGAAAAACAGTAGAAAAGTGTAACTAAATATTTAACGTAAAATCACATTTAATTCCCGTTTCGTTAAAACTAGGTAAGCCAAACATAATAAATTATCGATACAAAATAGTTGTGTCACATAACTGACTCGCATTTGACTCCTGCGGCCATGTTATAGGAAATTTACGTACGTAACAACTTTGTTTATTGTCCATACTATAAATCCATCGGTGATTTTAGCTGTCGCACTCGTAGATATGAACTAGCTTAGGAATCAATGGATATTGAAATGTGAAAACAATTAAATTTCGGAGACAATCGTAGTACTGGAGGTCGATAATTTTATTTAAGTATGTTTCATTAAACACAACATTATTTAAAATACTAAGTACTTATTTATGAAATGTTATCCCATTATTTGAAAATTTGCAAGTTGTGGAGGAATTTCCGCAGGTAGATATGCTTCAAAAGACTATTTTTACGTCTCTGCGTCCGAAACAGTACAGGTGACCGAAACAAACGCTCTTCGCGCGCTTGTGGCCTACGAGTCACATGTGCGGCGACAAGGTCACGCGCTTTTACGACTTCTATTTATATTTAGATTTCTGTGTTTATAACGAACGTAAAGAAAAACATTTTTGTGTTTTACATAGATATATTTTCAATCATCATCATTTCAAAAGATTTTTTAAAAACTTTTAATGGTAACATGTCCATTTGTGATATTTTTAGGAATCTGAAGGACATTTTCAATGATAACAGATGTAATATAAGACTGTTGTCATCAATATCCATATATTTTTTCGTCTTTGCTTACGGGAAGCTCCACAAGCTTTCAGCCTGCAAGGCATACAGATTTAATCTAAGCAATCCACCTGTAAATAAATTAATGAATATTGTAAAGGTGTCGTAACTAAATATTAACCCCTCAGTTCCCTTGAAATTCTGCAGTCGCATGCGCCCGGCAAATCTTGAACGGTCGCATGCGGCCGCACCCACCCGCAGCACTTAAAACCATTAAAACTTATATTTGTAGACTACTTTTCCATGAAGAAGTTTGGCATTATAAAATCTATACAAAATTCTCTACATAAAAGTCCGGTTTTAGTTCATTACAAAAAGACTATTGTATGTTGATAACAAAAACAAAACATACCAAGCAAATATCGGCAGCGCGAAAATCACAATTATTTCAATATATATTATTCGAAATTATTTATTATTCGTAAAAAGATAAATTATATTCACACAAAAACTTTCATCACAATTTTTTAATAAAACACTATACTAAAACACTATAATAAAACACTAGAAAAATCCAAAAATCAACACAATAACATTCACGCGAAAATGGCGTACGAAATGAACGTAGATTATAAATAAATATCCATAGCATAACTATATTTTATTGCACTAGAGGATAGAACTTTTTTATATTGATTCTACAATGCTAAACTTCTTCATAGAAAAGTAGTCTCTAAATATAAGTTTTAATGGTTTAAAGTGCTGTGGGGTGCGCGGTCGAATTCGACCGTTTGAATTTTGACGGAATATCGCTGCGGTCGAATTTGAGCACTTAGAGGTTGAAGGGTTAATTCTTATCAATATTTAATTTTTTCTATATTTATTGCAATCTAAACAGCTTCGTAGGACTTGGTTTATTATGTATGTATTGATTTACATTTCAAGCAGTATATAGCCAAAAACACAAATACATTTATAATTTTGTTAGGAATCAAAAGGACATTTTTAATAATAAGAGATGTGAGATAAGATTATGCCTTCAATATCAACAAACTATATTTCCAAATTTCTGACAGCATTTTTTCACCTCTGTGTATGTTAAATAAAAAAGAAATAATTATAAGTTATACACCATTAATCAGCTCCAGTTGATCAAATACACAAGCAGTAATTATTGATTAACATCAACAATATTTGACTACATAAAAGTTGTTTCACTTTTTATTTTCACTGGTTTTATGTAGGAGAAAAAGGTATAAATTTTATATTAAGTATCTGATCGTAGATGACAAAATAATATTTTTTTCTGCAGAGCAAAAAACAGCGGTCTCATAAATGATGAAATAGACTTTTTTCTTTAGTGATTATTATAATAAGACTACATTTACATTATTATTGGTGAGAGGGTTATACTTAAATGCAATAACTTCAAATAAAAAAAACAGAATATGTTTTTTTATAGAGTACCTAAGAGTGACAAACGAGCACACAGCCCCACTTGGTGGTAAGTGGATGCTGATTCCCATAGACATTTACATTTATTTTCATTTAAGAATTATATTGCAAATGCGTTATTGCTCCTGAGGACTAAGACGGAACACCTCCCTTAGAACAAAAAGGGTATTTGGTTTTCTACATTCCCCGTACGAAACACAACACGTGGTTCTTCCCTGGTGAAGCCAACCATTCATAACACAACTTAATTACCTGCAGCAAAATATTATATCATAATTTAACTAATTTTCATTTATCAGCGATCGCATCATCATCATCATCATCATCATCATCATCATTACAGCCCTTCACAAGTCCACTGCTGAACATAGGCCTCCTCCAAGTAATGCCACAAAACACGGTCCTGAGCCACCTGCATCCATCGACTTCCTGCATATCTTACCAGGTCGTCACTCCATCTAGTGGGGGTCGCCCTACACTACGCCTACCGGTACGAGGCTGCCACTCGAGAACCTTTCTTCCCCATCGGTCATCGGTTCTTCGAGCTATATGGCCGGCCCATCGCCACTGCAGCTTACTAATCCGTTGGGCTATGTCGGTCACTCTGGTTTTACTGCGCATATCCTCATTTCTGAGTCTATCACGCAGAGAAACTCCGAGCATAGCCCTCTCCATAGCTCGCTGAGCGACCTTGAGCGTCCTCATACGGCCAGCAGTGAAGGACCACGTCTCAGATCCGTAAGTCATCACTGCAACACGCACTGGTTGTACAATTTAGTTTTTAGAGATTGAGGTATACCTGACGAGAAGATATGTCGTAATTTCCCGAACGCTGCCCAGCCGAGTTGAATCCGTCGATTGACCTCTCGGTCGAAGTTGGACTTCATTCGATCGCATCACTAATTTTCATTTATCACATCACTAGTTATAAATTTCATTACAGCTGCTGTGTTATCTTACAACTAAAATATTTGATTTCTTATGTAATGTTTAATTGCATTTATACTATAAAAGTAATCATTGTTAAATATATATTGCATTTTAATGGAATTTTAGCGGTTTTAAAGTCAGTCATGAATTTGTCGTATGGTAGTCATTACGTACTGTGAAATTTAATGCGAAGATATTAAAATGGGGAAATTAAATCAGATACATACTTCGATCTCATGTGAGTTGATTTTTGAATATTCATTTTCTGTAATTAATTTTTATATATCTGCAGTAAAACCAGAGTTACCTAAAAATCCAACAAATCAGTAAAATGACGTGGCAATAGGCCGGCCATGTAGTTCGAAAAACTAAAAACGATGGGGAAGAAAATTTGATATGTGGCAGCCCCCCAGTAAGCGAATTATAGTACAGCTCCACACTATGTAAGGTGAAGAACTCGCGAGAGATAAAGGAAGTGCTCTTAGCACTTTTTTTGATTATTGATAACCTTGACTAGATAAAACTAATTTTTTTGTCCTGAAAGGCTTGCAATGGTGCGGAACAGCCATCCTCTCGGTATTCTTTAAGATACATTCCGGAAATCATCGCAGGAATTACACCACATAAATCTTCCCTCCCAAAATGTTTTTTTAATCAGTTTGAAATTTCCGCTCGAACCGTTTTTGATGTGCTGAGTAGCTATTAGTTCGTAACAATATTTGTCGAACGTTTTGAGGTCGAACATAGTGAGAAGTTCCAGGGATGGCCTACAGAGTCAAGCGTTTTTCAGTTTTTTTTTTTTTATCTTTGACACTGAAAGATTTCTTCTTTCATTTTTCCTTATTATAAGCCGGTTACTCGACTAAAATCGCACCTGGTTGTAAGTGGTGCCTTACAGATAGTAAATCGCACTGTCTTAGAGTTACAAAAATGTACCTTTCCTTTCTCCAGTTTTTTTTTAATCTTAATGCTACGCTCACTTTGCCCCACTATTGTTTAAAACTGGCCAGAATTAAGTAATAGTACTAACAAACTTGTATATCTATGCGGCGTTTAGTTCATACAAACGTTTTTCTCATAGATATACGTAAGTATATACTAAAAAAATAGAGACCATAGGTCTTTCTATTTTTTCACAAAAACTGACAAAGGGATAATTTAATGGTCGATGGCATTCTCTCTCAGTCAACACAGCTTGTTGAAATCAAGTAATTTGCGAGTATAAGTATATGCGAGAGGGTATATGACTCTGAACGCTTTTAATGCATTGTTTTTAATAATAATTACCTTCTCTAGGTTCATTTGGCGCACTGCTTTTGGGGTTGCTTATGGTATGGCCCTCATATACATTAGATCTGTTTAAAGACAGCCATACAATGTTACTTACGGAGCCAATGACAGATGTAGAGAGCTCCTTACTAGGCAGTCTCCCTCCTCTTGGAGCCATGGTCGGAACTGCTCTAACTGGTGTTGTGATTGGAAAATTTGGAAGACAAAAGGGCGGGATGCTGCTAGCTCTTCCGTTTGTGGTAAGAAAATGTTATGTGACATATTTACGAATCTTTTGTCTTTTTTACCAACCAATATAACTTTACTTGAGCCTTAATCGTTAAAAGGAGGATTTGCCTTAACACGGCACATTTTTACATTTGGCGTAGTCATGCGTTAATCGTGAACGTTTGATAAAATTTTACTCGAGTCTCATCAAAGTATTGACGATTGAATTTACATTTTTGAACGATCCAGATCAAACGATTGCTAAGACATATGACGAACGAGTATCGAGTATTATTTCACAGATCACAGAGTACTGATACTTGAAATGATTTATTTGAATGATCGATCCGAATGACTCGATTCTTAAGACGAATTAATACTTGAATAATTGAGTTACTAGATACAAATTAATGACTCACGTCTAATCTGGCGTTACCGGTGTGGTTATACCGCCATATTTCGGAAACCATAGCCCACAAACTAAACCAAACCAGGTCTATAGTCATATCTCATAGTTGCAAGGTCGCGTAAGTTGTATCTGTAGCCTGTTTTTTTCATAGGAGAGGAAACTTTTATGGGAGATTCAAACGAGCATACGGCTCACCTAAGTGATTACCGCCGCATATGAACAACTCCAACACCAGGGGAATGAAACGCAGCTGCGTTTCCGACCTTTTAAAAAGAAGTAGGCTGTTTTTTTGAAGGTCCCTAAGTCGTATCGGTCCAGAAAAATGTCTGGTGGTAGCCGATTCCACAGGAAGTTGTGCGAGGAAGAAAACCGTTCTCAGAGTTGGTTTCAGGTAGCCATTGCCAGTGCTACTTAATATTAGGTGGACTGTTAGCCCGTTTGTCATTCTTATACAGGCTGTCGAGACTTATCATACATACGTAGTACACGGGGTAAAGCCAGGCTTCAGCAACATTATATTTAAAGCAAGAATGAGTCAGATCGAGTGGAGTAGGACTACGCTCTCACAGAATACGACCGTAAAATTGCAGCTTAACCATTTCACTGTCCCATGAGTTATATATGAACATTTCGATTGTTTAACTATTGTGTCTATTTCGCGGACAGGGAAATTGTTAATGCTGCAGTGCGTGTGGTGAGTGTAAAGAAACGGAGACCTTTTTTACTGGAAAAGAAGCATTACGTCTTAGCCCTTAAGGGTGACAACGTATTTGCATTTTGATTCTCAATCGAGGAGAAATGTAAATGTCTATGAGCAACAACATCCACTTACCTGGACTGTGTGATCGCTTTTCACACTTACTCTATATAAGACGGAAAGGGAAAAAAAAGGCAAACTAATACTTTTATGAGCAAACTAGCAATGTAACTTTCTTTATTCTTAAAGTAAACACTGTTTAATGACGTTTCGCCTACTGAGTAGTTGAGTAAATGACTCTTTGCATATCTTATTTTTTTTCTTTACGGTTAATTTTATAGATAATCATAATGACAAATGAACACACAGTCTACCTGATGGTGAGTGATATTATATTGATTAAGAATCATAATGCAGAGTGCGTTGTTACCACTGAGGAGGGCGATGAAGTGCCTCGTTTAACAGTAAAAAGAGTCTATAATGAATAGTTCTAACACAATGATTATAATATGCTTTTAAAGTATGTGAGGAAACATAGCGTAATATTTAAATATAACTAATATGTTTGATATTCAACTTCTTTAAAATTTTATCTTCCTAATATTATGGCAAGTCAAATTTAAAGCTTAATTAAATTTCTGTAATAATTGACATTCTATTTTAACTATAATTATTATTTTTGGTCACAACTTATTTGGAATTAACACCAAGGATAGTCAATAGCTTTAATTATCCCCAGGTATCATGGGCAATGATTGATCTCTCTTCTACATCAACGATGATCTTAATAGGAAGGTTCATTGGAGGATTAGGTTGCGGCGCTGCCTTCGTCTACGGACCTATGTTTATTTCGGAAATCGCTGAGGAATCTGTAAGAGGAACACTGGCATCTGGTATTTCACTAACATTGTATTTCAATTACATCATATAATAAATTATAGTCATGCGATCGAGACATAAGCATGTAGTGGCGGTGTAGAATATCAGCTGCCCTATACCGTCCCGTGGGTGTCTTAAGAGGCGACAGATTGAAACTGAAAGAGGAAACAGGCAGCATTATCTTCCTGATAATAAGTCAAAATTATAAAATCTGTGGTTTCTCTTGTGGTGCATCGCCTGCCAAGCATGGAGACTATAAAAGAGCCCTGAGTTCAACATTGGACTTATAAAGGCTGTAATTGATGGACGGAATGGGTAGAAAAATTATTACTTACAATGATGTTAGTGTTGTTTGTCTTTTAGCATTTACAGATCTGTCTGATTCACGGCTAGCGGCCTGAAAAACATCTAGCAATAAGTTTCTGCTGCCCGGAGCCACTAGAGCCAAAAGTTCAAGTTTTGTTCAGTTTGATTCAATTAATCATGGGCATTTTGGATCATCTATTGTTAGTGTTATAGGCAACTACGGGAAATCCCAGACAGACCTCATAGCTTCCAGTTGATGGTAGTATAAAAGTCACGTCTATTTCACATGTTAATACTCAAACCGTCGGCAGAGAAAAGCGATAAAGAATGAATGAATGAAATGAATGCAGTAAATGAAATTAACGAATGAATAAATTCAATTGAAATGACAATTTAGTCAGTTGACTCTTTCGAGTTTATTTTTTTTACTCTTTCTTATAACTTGTTTTTTAAATATATAATTTATATATTTTAAAGCGATAATTTGTAAATTTTGGGATAAAAATAGACGATTTTTGTGTCTGCAGCAGGGACTTGCAGAAGCGATGTTGAAGCGTTTGACATACAAAGAGTGCTTTGTAAAAGCCAATTTTTATTAAAATATTTGACTTTATCTTTGACTTTTTTATAAAGAATAATAAAATGAGGTCATCTTTAAACACCCTTTTCTTTCCCAGCTCCAATTGCATTTAATTGTATAGGCATTCAAATGTCCTATATACTGGGTTGGTATCTGACCTACCGATACATCTTGTGGGTGAACCTGGCCTGCAGCGTACTGGGAGTGGCGCTTTTGATGACGGTAACTGAAAGCCCCGTTTACCTTTTGAGACAAAAAAGAGAAGAGGTGAGTGTGGTATTTAACGAAAATTGTTTTTAATAATCTGGCGTGTGATAGCGGCGTAAGAGCATCTATTATCGCATTTTGATCCATGACTTTTGAAAGAGAACATTACAGTCTATTGAAATTTCACTGCTAAATTGGATTTTGCATTGGCTCCGCACAAGTTGCAACTAAAACCCACTCTTATTTAATAAATGGTAGCGCACTTATATTATATTCCGTGGTGTAGCAGTTGTTCATTGATGGCGGTAATCATTTACCATCACGTAAGCTGCTCGCTTTTTTGCCCCCTCTTAAAAAACTTTGAGGAAACTTTTAATTTTTTGGTTGTAATCATGATTACACTGCTGTCCATCTTCTGGTTCGTTCCTCTGTCGCTTCTTGTAACGCCCATGGAACGATATGTGGTAGTGAATATCCTTACATCGCCATTGAACATTAAGGTAGCACAGCTTGAGATTAAAAAAATAAAAATTGTATTCTTAATATTTTCAGGATGCTAGACTAGCTATAGCTCATTATAGAGGAGAGTCACCAGCATCCAAAGTAGTTTTAGAAGAGTTGTCGCAGCTTAAACAACAGATAACGCCGGTCTTTGAATTAATAGCAATGAATATTGGTAAGGAGGAATAAGTACTTTTTTGATATTGACTGAATTTGCTTCGCTCACTACTTTAAGGCTGTAATATAATATACTAGTGATCTACCTAGGCTTCACACGGGTGCTGTTTGGATCTTAAAACCAGCGGCATTAACGGATTCAACGGTGAATATAAACCATCCAGGTACCAAACCACTTAAATAAACACAAAAACATTAATCAAAATCGATTATACCGTTTAGGAGGAGTTCAGTGACAAATAGAAGTATACGTAGCGTAAGGTACAATATCAAAACATTTTAAAAATAAAGAATACTGTTAACGCTATTTACATCACCAATACTCTCGTTAACCTCTCTAGGTAAACATATAAATGCTTGCGTAGAGTGGTTCACTACAAAATAATAATAATAACAATAATAATGTCCTCTATGGCGTAGGGAATTGACGACCCCATCGCCCGCTGACGTAACAGTTAAGTGACAAAACTGCTACGTCAACGCAGTCAGTCAGCGCCTTGCGAGAGGTGTGAGCGCCGTACCTCGGCAGAATTCAGGGTGCAAAGGCCCGTTTGTGCTTATGGCCGTCCACGATACGGTGCCGGGCCTGGGCGTCTCCCGTTAATGGACGCCCATATTATGGATGATGGAAAAAAAGGTAGTGCGCAAAGGGCCGCTGCCTGGAGGTCGCCAGGGCGCGTCTGGAGCTGGCGCTGGACGCAACAGCATGCGGGCCGCCAGCCAAGCGCGTGGTGTTTCAAGACCACCTAGCAGCCTCCCGCATCCATCATCCCCACCAGAAGCCTTGGTGTCGGCTGGGTCTTCTCGGACTCAGCAAGCGGCACCCGCCGCTGGTGGAGCACGTCGCATGCGTTGGTCTAAATCAATGAATGAAAACACACTGTGGGCGTATTTTAGGGCAAAAGGGGAAGAAACTGGATGATTGGCGTATCGGGCTCGGATGCATCGCTTTTTTGCAAAGCTGGAGCCATCTCTATCCGTCACTGAGCAAAACCTGGCAGACCGAGTTAGGTACATCCTGCGCTCCAACATATTTGGTGACGAACTCGAGCGACTACGACGTGAGGCTATTCCTTCATCGAATGGAAATGCTACGGCTGGGAATGCGGCGCCACTAGATGCGCATCAAACTGCATATGTGGATGCTGCCGTCAACATTCCATTTGTGGCCAATTCAGACGACGATGGAATAGTCTTCCACGAACTAGAGAAAATGAGGAGCATATTGGAAGAGTCGATGCTGGAAACGCGCAGCATGCCTCTCGAAAATCGACGGCGACTTCCCCGCATACCCCTTAGCAACCGAAATCGGGCTGTCGTGCGGGCTCTTAACCCAATGCTGGTGACCTATTTGGAAGCCAGCCGGGACCTTTTGCGAGACGGATTCAATTCTTTTTGGCGCCGCACTGGCAGTATGCCGTATTATTGGCGCCAAACTTCCCGTGGCTGGACGTGCTACTCAAAAAAGTAGCGCCATCCCAGCCTGGACAAAAAGAATTAAGGACCGTACCGCAAAGGCAAGGGCCCTTATCGGCAGACTGACAAGCTTCAGGTCGGGTAATAATAGACCGAGGATTATGCGCACCGTTAGGATGGCGTTTGCTGGGACACATATCAGTTTGTTCCAACCGGATATCACGCAAAAACTAACGGAGCGCATAGATGATCTAAAGCAAAAAATCGCTGCTTGGGGGAAGCGGATTCGACGATTTAGCGAGAGGTCAAGGCGGTTCAACCAGAATCGTCTCTTCCAGAGTGATCAGAAGAGGCTCTATAAATCATTGGAGCGACCAGAGGTATGTGGAGCGGGCCCAGGACCGGATCAGGCCGACACTGTCGCATTTTGGCGTGGCCTGTGGTCAGAGCCCGTAAACCACCGCGAGGGCCCTTGGATGGAAATTGTGGCGAGCCAGAGTGCAAGTGTTACGCCTATGGACCCCGTCACCATAACACCTGAAAATGTGGCTGAGGCGGTCCGTAGGGCCCCGAACTGGAAAAGTCCGGGGCTCGACGGGCTGCATCATTACTGGCTGAAGGGGTTCGTAGAGTGTCACGCTGTGCTCGCCCGACAGTTTCAAGAGGCTCTCGATCAGAAGTCGCTCCCGAGCCTCTTCACTACTGGGATCACTCATTTAGTTCCTAAAGATCAGGATACCACAGACCCGAGCAAATACCGCCCCATCACGTGTCTACCCACTATATATAACTTTTGAGCGCGAGAATCACTCGTCACCTGGAGCTAAATCAGGTGATGTCACGCGCTCAAAATGGATGCCGGGGCGGTAATCGTGGAACCAAGGAACCACTCCTCATTGACGCGGTCATTGGCCAAGTGGTGAAACGCAACCGTCGGAATTTCTCCGCCGCCTGGATAGACTACAGAAAGGCATTCGACTCGGTGCCCCATACATGGCTAAAGAGAGTCCTTCAGCTGTACAAAATTGACTGTACAGTTGGAGACTTCCTCGAGCAGTGTATGGGGCAATGGAGTACGATACTTTGCTATCTAGGTGAGCGGATGATGGCTGCGGAGAACCACATAAGGATAAGAAGGGGTATCTTCCAGGGCGATTGTCTGAGTTCAATCTGGTTTTGCCTCTCCCTGAACCCTCTCAGTACTTTACTGGAGGGCTCCGGGAGGGGATTTCAGCTTCGGAAAGGAGGTACAAAAGTGACCCACCTTTTCTATATGGATGACCTCAAGTTATTCGCCTCCAGTCGCACCCATCTTATGGAATTGCTAAACATCACTTGTGAATTTAGCAGTTCTATTGAAATGGAGCTGGAAACGGATAAGTGTGCGGTCCTCCTTGTTGAAAGGGAAAGGGATGCCAACTCTGAGGGCATAGTTATCTATGCCCGTCAACTTAAGGACCCTTTCCGAGGCTGAAACATACCGATACCTGGGTATGTCACAGAACATCGGTATCGATGAGGCTGGTATGAAACAGTCAGTTTGCGACGTGTTTTATGCACGCTTGACCACCGGTCTGGTGTGAATAAGACACACGCATATAACGGTTGGGTCATGCCTGTCCTCATGTATACCTTTGGCATACTCAGGTGGACCCAGACTGAACTTAACGCCCTGGATAGAAAAGTCCGCACTACCATGACGTCCCATAGGATGCATCATCCGAGATCGTCGGTAATGAGGCTGTACTTGCCACGAAAGCATGGTGGACGTGGCTTTCTGAGCGCGCTCACCATGCATAATCGCGAAGTGTGCAGCCTCCGTGATTACTTCCTGGCGAGATCGGATGATCCATTCTATAATGACGTCGTTTCTAGTGTTAGGACTTACGCCTCTATCCTTAGCCAACGAGCAATGGCAAGACCCGGCAGTGCAGAGCATTTCCGACCGGGAGACCGTATGGAAGGAGAAGAAGCTCCACGGGAGGTTCTACAAGGCTCTACATGAGCCTTTCGTAGAAACAGTAGCCTCCCTCCACTGGCTACGCTTTGGTAATCTCTTCGGGGGAAACCGAGGGTTTTGTCTGTTCAATACAGGATCAGGTTATTAAGACCAACAACTATCGGAGATACATCCTAAAGGATGGCACCGTGGACATCTGTCGAGCTTGTCGCCATCCCGGTGAGTCACTTAGGCATGTCATCTCCGGTTGTTCGGCGCTTTCTAACTCTGAGTACTTGCACAGGCACAACCTAGTAGCCAGAATTCTGCACCAGGAGCTCGCTCTGAAATACGGTCTCGTGGATCGGAAATTGCCGTATTACAAGTACTTGCCGGAAGCTGTGCTCGAAAATGATCGCGCCAGGCTCTATTGGGACCGGGCCATCATCACAGACAGGACTATTCTTGCGAATAAGCCTGATATTGTGCTGATGGACCGGGCACAGTCAAGGATATTTTTGGTCGACATTACCATTCCGTATGACGAGAATCTCGTGAAAGCCGAAACAGACAAGCAAACAAAATATCTGGACCTGGCTCACGAGGTGACCGACATATGGGGTGGTCTGCCGACCGAAATTATTCCTGTAGTCGTCTCTGCAAACGGGCTAATCCCAGTCAGCCTCTCGGGTCATCTGAGGCGACTGGGACTACGTGGCGGACCGCTCCGGGCTCAAATGCAGAAGGCGGTGCTCCTCGATACCGCCCGCATCGTCCGCCGGTTTCTTTCCCTTTCCCCCTAACCCTCAGCCGTTTGGTCTCCCCTGCCGAGGGCCTCCATCTGGTTAGGCTTTTATTTATTTATGTATTTTTATATTTATTTTATGTTATTGATATTTATGTATATTTATCTTTTCATTTTCATTTATAATTATATATTTATAGAACCCAACCAGATAAGAAAACTATATAGATACCCCATAATGTCCTCCAGACCGAATTTCGCCCACGGCGGCCTGTCTCAACGGAGGCTAGCTATCGGCGCAGGACAGGATTATAGTGCCCAAGTGTATGCGCAAGCACAGGTGCAGTCTCTATTCCCTCACTCTCGTAATCCGATGTGACAGTAAACCGACACGAGCGGAGAGAGAACAGACGCAGTACTAACTAACGGCTTTACGTGCTTTCCGAGGCACGGGGGTAAGACACCGCCAACTTCCTGACTCCGGGCAGTTACTGGGAATTTCTTGACGGAAAACTCAATAATTGATTCCCTGAGTCGTCCGTACCCTACCAATAGAGTAATGTCGCTTCAAACTATTATATTCAATAGAAGTAAAGACACCATAATTATATAAACGGTAATAAGAATTATCTTATCATTGTCAATCTTCTTTGTTTTTCTTATCAGTACTTAAAAGTCTACTAATGGACATGGGCATTTCTGTCGTAAAAAAGGTTTACTTTAACCATGTCTTGAAGTTTATTAATGATTATATTAGGTTATAGGCCATAAATTTGGAGTCGGAGGAGGGGAGATTAGTTTTTCTTGCATTGACCATAGTTACGACCTTACGACACTCAAGGCATGTAATAAGGTGATGATTCTCTATCACCATCACCACACGAAAATTCATTTTTCACTTTTCTCTATCTTAAATTATTTAATTAAAACGAAACGAAATTCTTTGCCGTTAAAGAAACACAAAATTTGCGGTGGCGAATCTTGTTTCAACTGACACTAAAGCAGCAATGATGTAATATGTAAATTATGAATGTAATACAAACGAGTCGGCTTAACCTGGGAAGATCCATGCTTTCACAGAATACCTGAGTAAAATAGCAGCTCAATGCTGCGGGGTTTTGTATGGTGATTTTGAATACCGGAGATCCTTCTTAGATGATAGATGTATATGTCTGTGGGCCACAGCCTCCTCTTACCATCAGATGGACTGTGTGCTCGTTTTGTCACACTTAAGAGTATCGAGTAATTTTTTATACCTACTAAATATATTGTTTATTAGGCTTTATAGCTTACACGTGAAAAAAAAACTGCGTAATCTTTTCTTTGAAGAGACCTATAGATATTAATTTTTGTCGCTTATCACTATGTTAACAAAATTTAGCTATAAGTTTACTTAAAAAAATATAATAGAATTTTCATCTTAGATATTTTTAAATCAGGTAGATTAATAGCTGCATATAACGTAATCATTTATAACTTGTCATTGAATCTAAACTAAGGTTAGTGGAATGTTATTACTGTGAAATATACACCAACGAGTACGCAATTATCGGCATTATTAGTATTGTAGCGTTTATATTGAAATAAGTGAAATTGCGTACATGATACTCATAACATATGTTTTATGTAATGTAAACTGTAAGTAGAGCCAGAATATATCAGTTTTTAGTTTTATAGATCGTAGAAAGTATATGTGTGTTTATGTCTAGGTGGTATTTTTATTATATAATGGGGGTGACGTGTATAGAGGAAACGAGCACACTGTTCACGTGACAGTAAGTGAATGTTGTAGCCCATATACATCTACATTTATCTTCGATTAAGAATAAGAATGCAGGTACGTTGCCTCACCTCGTTTCCACTAAAAAGAGTCTCCGATTCTCTATACTCACCATACAAAACAAAGCAGCACTAAGATGCTATTTTACGCTGGTATTCTGGTAGAGCATGGTCTTTCCCCAGCCGAGCCGACCTATTCGTGCTACAACCACAATATTGCTGCAGCGTGCCTCTACCAAGAATAAAATACATACTAAAATTGTTAAATATGCATACTAAAATATTAAAGTTTTATTTTACAATACAAAGTTTATCTAGAAACTTTATTTCTAAAACGGTACTGGTAGGTAAAATTTCACAAAAATCTTTTCTGGAGCATCGAAAAAAATGTGATTTTGCAAGTAAATTTTCAATTCATATATTTTGCTAATAGCTATTCTGACAATAAATAAATTTGATTTGATTTGCTAAAAGAATAATTTATCAATACTAACTTATGCAAGTAAATAGAAACTTTGCAACAGATGCAAGTAAATAGATCTATCAATAAATACTGTTACGAGATTGGGGTTCGTGACAAAAAAAAGCCGATTTAATTACAAAAATTGACACTTTAATTACCGAACACCAATTACAACCTAAGGCACTAATAATAAAACACTTTAGTACGTAGTTATATTGCTTAGAATTATTCGCTTGATCCGCCAATTCAATACATGCCTTATATATTGCCTCTTCTACTGAAACATCTAGAATGTTCGAGTACATACCGGTCCCGACTGACTAGGTATCAGTACAATGGTTCTAGTACGGTGTTTTCTTAAAAGTTCTCCTAGGTCCCCTATTTGTAAATACAAATTTTACTATTTATATTTTATTTTACAATAACATATTATGAAATTGATTTATCAATAAATACTGTTACATCGTTCAGACGGCGGTAGTCAACATAAACCGCATGCTGCCGTCCTTTTTCAATACCAGCATCACAGGTGAACACCATGGACTAGACGAAGTTTCAAAAACAGCATCCTTTACTCTTCCCTCCATCATGGTTTCCACTTCCTTTTCAATTGCTACCGGCTATCTTCTTGGTCGCTGGCGGATAGGCAATTCTTCTCCTGTGTTTATTTTGTGTTGAACTAAGCCGGTCTTCCCTATGTCAGCATCATTTGACGAGAATACATCGGCATACTTGAGTAACAACTTCTTCGCCTAGACCATTTCATTCGGCAAGAAAACGCTGCGACAGTCTTCTAAAAGTGTGGTCACTCTCGTTTGTTCACCTTTGCTGGGGGTTCCAGTCGATAGATATTGGCACCAATGCACCCAAT